TCCGTTGCTGGACACGAAAAAAGCAAAAAAAAAAAAAAAGGAAAATCCTAACCCTCATACACTACTGATGGAAATGTAAAATTTTTTTTTTTTTTTTTTTTTAAAAGATGACCGGTAAGGGGATCTTAACCCTTGACTTGGTGTTGTCAGCACCACGCTCAGCCAGTGAGCGAACCGGCCATCCCTATATGGGATCCGAACCCGGGGCCTTGGTGCTATCAGCACCGCACTCTCCCGAGTGAGCCACGGGCCGGCCCCAAGGGAATGTAAAATGTTAACACTACTTTGGAAAATAGTTTGGCAGGGTCTCAAGAGGTTAAACAATTCCACTCCTAGGTATACACCAAGAGAAATGAAAACATCATGTTTATGTAAAAATTTGTACATGAATATTCCTGGCATCATTATTCATAATAGCTCCAAAACTAGAAATAACCCAGAGGTTCACCATCTGATGAGCTGAAAAAATGTGATATAATCATACAATGGAATATCCTTTGGCAATAAAACAAAATTAAGTACTGACGCATGCTACAACACAGGTGAACCTTGAAGACATTATGCTAGGTGAAAAAAAAAAGTCAAAATGACTACATGATTCCATTTATATGAAATGTCCAGAACAGCAAATCTACAGAGACAGAAAGTAGCTTAGTGGTTACCTAGGGGTGAGAGGTGAGGGTTCTTCAAGAACCATAGTCCCTTAACAAAAAAGGGGTGACTTTAGGAAGAGCTGGTATGGGGAAATGAAGGAGTTTGGTTTTGGAAATATTCTGTATAGACTATGTTGGCAAAAAAGGTAACCTCATTTTTTTTAAGTAGCTTAATAAATAATGTATGCTACAATAAACTTAGTTACTTCAAGTAAGGTAGAAAATGGAGAAACAAAAGTGAGGGGAAACACCCCAAAATTTGATAATCCAAACACTTTTTTGTCTTTGAAATATGTATTTTAACTCTTTATAAAAGGCATAGACTGAATAGTATCTACACAATCAAGTCTTATTATATGCCATCCAGAACACCCTCTTAGATTCGTTTCTCATGCTAACTTTAGTCTTCATTCACCACTAAAACTGTATATTTTCCTTATCTTAAAAAACACTGTATTCCTAGATCCTAATATCTACTTCTTCCAATACCTACAAAAACTACCAGCTGATGACCAACATACATATTTTTCATTAAAAAGCAATCTGTTCCGGAGCTGGCTGGCTAGCTCAGTTGGCTGGAGTGTGGTGTTGATAACCAAGGTCAAGGGTTCAGATCCCCATACTGGCCAGTCACCAAAAAGCAATCTGTTCATGCCCAGTTTAATCATCAATAATAACACTTTTAAAATAATGGTATAGGAGATAAAGAAAGACAGTGTACACCTAACAGTTTTAATACTTTGAAAGCATGACTTGGGCACCAATGGTATATTCAGCGCTGTATCAAGCACTATGAGGAATATTAAAAGGATGAACAAGATGAAAATGAAAAAAGTGGTTTAAAGTAGCATCTCAGATATGTTTTGATTAGCAACTCTTTTCAAAGACTTCTAACACTACTGCTAGCTTAAATAATCTCCCATAGGAACAAAACACTTCAACACCATCTTTCTAAGTTTTCTCTCTCTCTTTTTTTTTTTGTATCCATGGATAGGTCTTAATGAAGCATAGTCAAGAAAACTGAAACTCTACTAACCGTGTTTTGTTCCAGTAAGAATAAAATGGGAAGTTCCAAAAGGTAACGGTATGAACATGATATAATCAATTCTAACAAAATGCCACTGCCTTATAATTTTTACTAAATTTCTCTGTGTAGTGAAACTTTCTTAATAATTGCTAGAAAGCTTTAAGGTTTACAGTACAAAATAACTGTAAAGCAGCTATGAAGTTCCGATGTCGGCCTCTTTTTGTTTCAACAGTGCTCTGCTGCCTACTATTACGCCTGGGCTGCTGTGAAATACTCTATGTGTCTAATTCTTCTATTAGTGGCAACTCAAGTCATAGGCCTTAGCATAAGTGTTACCAACTCATGGAGACAGCACAAACTTAGAACAATGATTAGAAAATCAGAACAACATCAGTCTGGTACAAAGATAAAAATCGCATACCTTATCTTACTTTGAATTTATGTATTTTTCTCTTACCTCTTCTTTTAATGCATGTTTTCTCTGTTCCAAACAGATCTCTTTAGCTCGCATCATCTGCAAAGTCTCCTTAGAAACTGCATACTGGAGTTTTTCCATACGTTCAGCAGCTGCTGCCCATGATGCTTTACCAAATTTCTTCTGATCTGCTCGCATTCGATCATACACAGCTGTTAATAACAATTTTTAAAGACACATCAAGTTATAAAACAACTTGATGCTAAAGAATTGGAAAATCTTAGATTTCACTGACAACACACTTAAAGAGAAATACACAAATATTACCCCCATGATAAATTACCTATAACAACTCTAAAACACAATTCAACAATATCTTAGATTCTCTGTCTTCAAATCATCCTCAGAAATAACATTCTGCAGATGAAACTGAGTTGTCAGATTAATTTTTTAAAAACTTTTAAAAATAGTTATTAAATTTCAAAGCATCTATAAAGCTTTATTCTGTCAAGTCATGCTTCCTCTGGATATGTTAGTTGAAATGACAGACATAATAATTCAAGATTATTTAAAATTATTTAAATCCATGTTCTAAATTTTATCATTCTGAATCTTCCAAAAATACTGTAATAACATGAAGTGGGTGAAAATAAATCCAAGATGCTAGAATGGAGCTCTTTCTGAGAAGGTTAGAGTAGAGTGGTACATATAATTTCCAAAGAAGATACAGCCCTCTCCCACTCCCCCCCCAAAAAGACAAAAACCCTTTTTAGTCTATCATAATATAGACCTAGTTCAAAATATAAGCTTGACAGTCCAACAGCTAACATCTTCCAGTTAAAGAAGTTTAACTGCTGATAGTAGTGTCACGTGGTAGTGGCTCATCCTGGGTCTTTATGTGATTAACCGAACCATCCTTATGCCCAACCATATTGTAATGAGCTATAGAGACTTTAATTATCACGAAAGAATAGGCAATTTAGTAAATACTGAACATAATTGTTTAAGAGAGGACATATTCACTGGTAGTTACTTTTACATGTTCAGAAGTAAGTGATAAATAATTTTGTACTGCTACTATGAACTAACCAAGTTTTGCAAGGAAATATAGTTTAGAATACTATTCCTAGCCTCAGTATTTTGTGAAAGCTTTAAGAGTAATACATGTACATGTTTAAAAATTAAAACTGTACAGACAGTTCCTTATGCTCCACTCTCCCCCTAGACCCCTAGTGCCAATGCCCAGATGCAACTAACTTTTAACCACTTCTGGTGGTTACCTCCATACCAAAATATTGCTCATTTTTGATTTACAGTATTTAAAAATCATCTGTTCACAAGTGAACAGAAATGAGGTTCGTGGGAGGGAGGGGTGAAAGGGAGGAGGGAGGGAGGTTTGGGTAATGGGCCACAATAAACAACCACATTGTATACTGACAAAATAAAATTAAATTAAAAAAAATAAAAATCATCTGTTCAGTCTCTATTACAACAGATGAGGAATTTCCTTACTTAGAACCTCTACTCCCAACATATAGTTACATCACTTCCTTTGAGGCTTCTGGGGTTTTTATGTGTGTGTGTGGCCTTTAAATGCTAAAAATAAGATAATGTTTTCAATTCATAATCTCTTTGAACCTCAATCTTAAGATTTTTAATAAATAAAATCTGCTCGTTTGTTGAATATCAACTATGTTTCTTTCTGCCATTTTAAATTTCTGCCCACCTCTTCAAACTGTATTATAATATTAATGTAACTATAAGATCAATATAGTAGTGTAAAGTAAGGGGGAAAAAACAGCAAGGGAATTGGATTTAGATAACTTTAAGTTAAAATACCAGTTCCACCCATAACTGATGTGTAACTTCTGGCAAGAAACTTAACCATTCTTGGGCTCAATTCCCTTGACTAAAAAGAATAAGGAAATATAGTACCTAACCAGAGGGCTGTTGTGGCTTGAGAGTGAATGACAGATATCCAAACATCTTTCCCACTTCATATGGCAACATTAATCCAACTGATGTTCTATTATTTCATTTATCTCTCATGTACACACCACCACAATCAGTAATATTTATTTGATGTTATATTATTTTTCAAAGCACTTTTCCATGTTTTATCTCTGTTTATCTGCCCGGCAATCCTACAGAATATGCAAAGTACGCACTATCAACACCTGTATAGATATGATAACTGGGAAGTTTTGGTAACGTCAAGCAAGGCTATATACCTATAGTAGTACCCAAGTTTTTTAAATCCCTAGTGTACTACCACTACCATCTTTACCTGAACTTATCAAACATTCAGCATACTCACAATAATTAGGAGCCTTTCTCTTGTTCCCCACTTCAGGACCATGTCTGGGGAGCAGCTCTCTATCCTAATTCAGTCTCAGGTTGTTACCTACAATACTAGCTATTCAATATTTTGTCTTCCAACATCTTTGGATGAAACATATTCTTACACTTAATTGTTCACTTTGCTTAGAATTATTTCTAAACAGTTCAGGAATATGAAGGTAATGAAAATTACTTGTGAATATGGAATGTTTGAAATACCTGTAGAACAGTTCTTCTCTTCCTTTGATGGCGAGAATAAAGATTCTTGCTAAGATGACTGTTTATATTATCAAGATAACAATGTCGTTATTGCAGTAAAATATAATCATTATTTGTTTTGTTTTGTTTAAAAAAAAAGCTCTGAAGTCAATAGAGTCCTGGTGTTTACAAAGTATCATGTTAAATCTATTTTAAAAACCTAATGTTCTAATACATTATATATACAAGGGTACATCAAAAAGACTGGAAAATTTAAATTAAAATACAAATCCTTCTATGAACTTTTTGAAATACCCTCCTACTCGTCAGAAACAGGCCCATTTAAGGTGTTTTTAAAAGCTAAGCAGTAAGATATCAAAATAAGGTTACACCTGGCTTTGTATAAGGAAGGAAATTAAAAGGCCTCTTTTACTCCTCTTCTAAAAAGACAAAGTAAAAAGTTACCTTCCGATTGGAAACACGAAGGACGCTATTATGCTCAGAAGCCTAAAGCCATAGAGACTTTCACTCTGCTTCTCTTACATGGGAGGACAGAAACATGCTCAGAAAAGGAAAATTAAGAAGCCAAGCAAACTAATTATATTTCCTTACTCAGGCTCAAAGTCTTCCTGGTAGGATATAGTCACTAGAACTGAGAAATAATGAAGTCTTAAAGGACTTTGACAAAGCATGTGGAACCCTAGAATGATTCTCATCACACAGAAAAACAATTTACCTGAAATTGGAGAAGCAAACTGTAAATAAGAGCACTAATCTAAATTATTTCTACAGAGTCAGAACTATAAACTATGTATGAATATGTACAGACAAAATCATTACACTTTTGTAATAAACCATGTGTAGAGAAAAAAATTGAGAGATGCACAGAATGTTTGGGCATGGCTGGAGGGATTACAGATGTGAGGTTTTTTCCCCTCTAACATTCCGAATTTTCTATAATGGTTATAATATTTTTAAACCACAATAAAATGAGTGTTTTTTTAATACTTTAGAGAAGACTAAATCTAGAAAGCAGATTCTAAACAAAGTTTAAGTATATAGTTACAAACATGCTTTACAGTAAGAAAAGGCATCTTTAAAGTTATTTAAAAGGTACTATTCTTAATATAACATACTATTTTTATTTTTAACTTTAACTTTATAAGAAACTGTAAAATAATTTGCCAGAGTGACTGTACAATTTTGCATTTCCATCAGCAATGCAGGATAAATGCCAGTTACTCTGCATCCTCACCAGCACTTGGTATTGTTAGTATTTTTTTATTTTAGCCATTCTAGTAAGTGTGCAGTGGTATCTTGTTGTGGTTTTAATTTGCATTTCATTAATGACTAATGATGCTGAACTTCTTTTCCTGTGCTTATTTGCCACCTTTATCCTCTATTGAACTGTCTTTCAAGTCTTTTTCCCATCTTTTAACTGGGTTGCTTTCTTATTGTTGAGGTGAAAGTTCTTTATATATACTGGACTGAAGTCCTTAGTCAGATATGCGGCTTGCAAATATTTTCTCTCAAATATTCTCTTGTCTTTTCACTCTATTGACAGTGTCTGCTAGAGTAAAAATTTTTAACTTTGATGAAATCCATTCTGTCAAGTTTTTTATTTACAGTTTGGGCTCTTTATCACTTTTTCTTTTACACTTTATATTTCTGGTGTCATTACTAAGAACTCTGCCTAATTATTTCATATAGATTTATGTAACTCTAAGAAACAGATTTTTCTCATGTTTTCTTTGGGAAGTTTTATGGTTTTTTCATTCTACATTTAGGTCTATGATCCATTTTGAATTCATCTTCATATAAGGTGTGAGGTTTAGGTCGGAGCTCATTTTTCTGTATAGAGATGGCCAATTGTTCCAACACCATTTGTTGTTTCTCCACTGACTTGCTTTATCAAAGATTAAATGGTCATATTTGTGTGAATCTATTTCTGAACTCTCTATTCTCTTCCACTGGTTTAAAGGAAGTGTATACGTTTACACATATGCCTAGAAAACACTAAAAGACCATACCTTAAATTTGCTACTAGTGGTCTTCTCTAACTACTAGGATTATGAGTATACATCTTTACATACTCTTCTATAACTATTCCGAACATAAAACACTAACCACTCATTTTCAAAAATACCTAACAAGGATAATTTTACTGGTAAACTTACCTTTTTGAGCTTTAGCTGTTATTTCAAAATACTTGACAGTAAGATCTTGAATAGACAGTACAGCCATGTGAGCTTTCCGCTGCCAATCAGCATCTTCTTTTTGTAGACTCTCAATTCTTCTGGGTCCCAGATAATCATTCTCCATGGAAATCTTTGGAGAGAAAAAGGAAAAATTATGAAGTTCATTTTTCTTTCTTTCTTTTACTCATACCTCAAACATTTACTGACTGTTTATATGCCAGGCATCATGCATGGTAGTAAAACAAAGAATAATACTTGTTTTTCCTTGCTCTAGAAGAGAAGCTATTAATTTATAAAACAAGTGAATTAATAATGATTCTGAAGATATCTGACACACAGAAATCTGTTCCCCATTCCTCCCTCTCTACTTGCTTCCACCTTCCCCTTACTCTACATGTAAGTGAAGGATATATACCAAAATGTTAAAACTGATTACTTTTAGATGTTGAGATAATGAGTAATTTATTTCCTCTTTTATGATAACTTTATTGCCAGGTTAAATAAAATGCTTACTTAAAATATTTATTTATTTAACTGCCATTAAATAAATAAAATTGAAAACTCAGATTTTAAGATTGATAATATATAAAAATCAGCCCATGGGCATACTGAAAAGACTGTGGGTAAAAATAACAGAAAAAACTAGCTATGTATTACTTACAAAATTTACAACTAAAACAAAAGAACAAAGAAAAGCTGAGAAATAATGAACAAGGACACAGGTGAATGCCAAAACAAAATTCACAGAAGTAACAACATTAATATAAAAGTATGTTTCAAAGCACTACACAGGTATGTTTTAACATGGAAGAAAGGTGCAATACAGCACAAACAGCAATGGACCACTTGTACACACAATCCTGCTTCACCATATAGAGAAAAGACTGTTAAAAGTTAAATGAGAAGTTAATAACACCATTTTCAGGATAATTAAAAAAAAAAAAAAAAATCCCAGAAAAATGTTAACCCATCCATGGCACACTTAAAACAACACTGGTCAAGTATCACTAAGCAACTAAAAAATTTGTGCTGAATTTTAGAAGTATAAACAATGCAAGCCATATTCTCTAAACAATGCAATAAGTAGAAATTAAAAGAACAGTCTAAAACCAAAAGAAAATTTTAATCACCTTCAATTTAACATGCATAAGCCAGAGGAAGCCAACATTTGGTTTTAGTCCCGAAGCAACAATATACTACTCCTTAAGCAAAGAGAATGTTTCTTCAAAAAGTAAACAAAGGATGGGCCAGCCCGGTGGCACACTGCTATAGTGCGCCGCTTGGGAAGCGCGGTGGCGCTCCTGCCGAGGGTTCGGATCCCACATACAGACCGGCCGCTCACTGGCTGAGCGAGGGGCGGGAGCAACACCGTGGGTTGCGATCCCGTGGCCGGTCCCGGTCCGGTATGGGCGCGACACTGAGGGTTGCGATCCGTTGCCGGTCACGAAAAAAGACAAAAAGGGGAAAAAAAAAAAAAAAAAGTAAACAAAGGAGTACCATATTTCAAAGGTAGGAAGAGCAAGTATTTAATTTTGCATGTGTTGAGTTTGACTTTGCAGAGGTCACACAGGTTACACAAATTTGAGTATCCTTGACCCATAGAGGACATTTAAAGCCATGAGAGTAAATTAAGTCACCTCAGAAAGAGAAAAAGGCTCATGAATGAGCCCTGACGAATTCTGACATTCTAAGTTGGGTGAAGAAGAGCCCACAGAAACCAAGCCAGAGAACAGGGAATCACAGAAGTAGCAAGATTCAAAGGAGAAAGTAACCTCATCACACACCACTTAGAGGTTGAACAGAATGATGACTAGTATCCATGGACCTAACGGCATGACTATGGCTGAACTTAGCACCAACAATTCTGGAGTAACAGGCAAACTCTCTTTGCCTATTCCTCCCATCACATCTTCGGATCTCAGCTCAATTACTAGTTTGTGGAAGCCTCCCTTGACTCTCCACTGTAAACTCTTCAGTGCAGCACCTTTCCTACACACCACTTATCACAATCATACTTTATTTTGTAAACTTGTAAATACTGACTGCTTCCCATTAGAGAAGAGGCACATGAGTTTTTGGTTTTCCACTAGCATACTGCCTATCATAAACTAGGCAATCTAAATATTTCCTGAATGATTGAAATGAATAAAAAAAAATTATAACTTTCATATATTTTTTCAATGAGAAGACAGAAATGTAGACAATATGTATATATAAATATTCTTCTAAGAAATATGATTTTGTGGGGGAACAGAAAAAGAAGGGTGGACCTAGGAGGGAATATAGGCTTATACGTGAGCCTTTCGCTTTTGTTTTTTTGTCATATCTTAATGGGAGATCATAGAGAAGTGCGAGTGGTGTTAAGAAGTATCTAGCAGAGAGAATCTACAGATGCAAGAGAGTAGGGAACTTTGTGAGAAGAAAACACTTTCAAAGAATAATACCAAAGATGTTCACACTGCAATGTTGTTTGAAATACATGAAAAAATAGATCCCAGATATCTAATAATACAGTTATATATGATACACCCATAAAATACAATTGTATGCAATAATGCTTATGAAGAGTTTTTAATAACATAGGAAAATAATTATGTTATAAAACTAGGTGAAGACAGGTCAAAATCACAGAAATATCCCAACTCTGAATTCTTGCAGAAAAATATTAAAAAATCATGGACATTATTTCAATTACATAAGATATACAGAAAAAAAGTCAAAGTACGAGTATGTAAAATATATTATTATTGTTATCTTTTGGTGGTAAGTTATGTATTTTTTTTGTTTAAAAACTGTACTTTCCAAGTTTTTTCACTGAATATTTATTGCTTTCATAATCATAAACAAGAAAAAAATGCTTTTATCTCATCTTGGGTTCAACAAGCCATACCAACTAGACAGGCTTAAAAAGCACATTATCCCAGAGGTTTCCTGTTTCTATTCAAGCAAACAATGAACTCATGTTTTCATATATGAGCCCCAGAAAAAAGGCAAAATTATGGGAGTTACCTCTCTTCCAGTGTGCAAGAGAGGAAAAGGAAGTGAAGATTCAATCAGAACCTAAATGTCTCCCTTAATAGCTGGGAAACATAATTATGTGAACTCCATTTCTGGAACTATAAAAACAGTACCAAACAAAAAAAAAAAAAAAAAGAAAAAATTAAGTCAGTAGTGACATCTTGGGTTCTTGATACCTGTCTCCCTACTCATTTGGACTGGTTCTTTTCTTTGTTTAATTCTCAGAAAGTATTTACTGTACCTCTAACCTCATACTGCAGGAGTCTAACTTAAATATGCAGTGAGTGTGGTTTTTTTTTCTCTCTTCCTTTTAGACTTTCTTACGGCTAATATCTGGAAATCATTTCAATCACACAATTTGAATAAAGGTACTAGGTGCTTCCCGGGGTTTAAATATGAGTTAGACACATATTCTCCTCCCAAAAAATATAAAATCTAATTGGAGGGTGGGGGTTGGGCAGAGGTACCTGTGATGTAGGAATCTGTCTTGAAATAAGCAGACATGGCTGTGTTACTTATTAACTTCAATTATCCATTAAAAAGGATTGTGTATTACACGCCTGCTCAGTACCAATACTGTATTAGGTACCAGGAATAGCAAGATATTCAGCCTAACGAACGATACTGATACTCAAAGAATGAGACATGAAAAAATGTCATGACAGAGCATGTTTAAGAAACCAGGGGAAACACCAGGTGTACAGGTTGGAGTACAAAGTATGGGCAGATTTTCTAAAGGAAATAATGAGTAAGTGGACTCTTAGAGAACAAGCAGAATTTAAGTCAATACTGATGTGTCTCTGAGTAAAAGGAATAAAGGTATTTTAAGACCTTTGAGAAAAATAAAAGGTACTGGGGAAAGAACATATTTAGTTGTTTAACTCAGGACAGACTTCGTTGAGGTTTGTGGCTTTGAAGGAGGGGTGGGATTTTGACAGGTAAATATGAAGTATACAGGGAGACAGAACTGCAGAAAAGGCATGCAAAAGGCAAGGACCAATCTGAACAAAAGCCTAGCAGCTGGAACTTTCCGTGGGTGCTAAGGGATAGAGAGCAGTACTGCACAGCTGGAACTCAGGTGAAACAGAGACAAGTAATGAAAGATAAGACTAGAAAGGTAGGTTGTGATCACTAGGAGGTGGTCTTTAAGTATCAGGCTAATGAGTAGTAACTTAACTTGACAGGCAACAGGAAACCACTGTGGGATCTGAAGCAGTAAGTAGCATATTTAGACTTCATCTTAGATTTAAGGATTCTACAGGACTCATTTGCTATAACAAAATCATCAATGTTTGGACTTTCTTTTGTTTTAATTACTTCTGATTTTAAAACACCTAAGGTTGGTGCTGATAACCCCAAGGTCAAAGGTTCAGATCCCACTGGGCCGGCCCGGTGGCGCACTGCTGTAGTGCGCCGCTTGAGAAGCACGGTGGCGCTCCCGCCGAGGGTTCGGATCCCACATACAGACCGGTTCCCGCTCACTGGCTGAGCGAGGTGCGGGAGCAACACCGAGGGTTGCGATCCCGTTGCTGGTCCCGGTTCGGTACGGGGGCGACACTGAGGGTTGCGATCCGTTGCCGGACACAGAAAAAGACAAAAAAGGAAAAATAAAAAAATTAAAAAAAATAAAAAAAATAAAAAAGGTTCAGATCCCACAATAAAAATAAAACACATAAGTTAAAAAGCATAAGATTAGTATTTACAAGTATGAGGTAGAAATTTAATAATGCTGGAAAGCAAAACTTTATAACCTCTTACTCAGGACATTATGACAGAAGTATTTTTCAATGACAGATTAAATATCATACCCTTTATTTAACAATGCAAAAGAAAGACAAATGGAAATGAGAGACCTTGTATTATGGCTTTTTGACAAGAAGTCTAAATTCTTTCACAATTATCTGAAGATAACTTGTACTTTGCTACCTTCATATACTCAAATATACAGAATATGAAATGCTTAGTATGCTTTTCTTTTAAGCTGCCTTTTAACTGACTTCTCAAACTCAGTAGCTATCAAGTCCATCCAATTGTTAAAGAACCATATATAGTTTATTCTACCTAAGACCTTAAGCTAGGTTACTAAGTTTTTCCCCTAACTTTGAAAGATTC